CTCTTATGTTTAACTATCATTGTTTTTCTAAAAGAAAGTTAACTGTAAACCAATTAATATACAGCTCACTAAGATATCGTCCTCAAAGCAAACATCACTGTTTTGAGATCTTTTGCTCCTCAGTAAATTAGAGGATATTTGCTTAATGTACCGTTACAAGCGACAAGTTGGGACAGATTGTGCCTTTTCTCTAGGAGCCCATTTTCTTCCCTTATTTTGACCAAAAAAAAACCCAACCAATCAAACAAACAAAAAACCTGGTTCTTATACAATCTAATTCTGTTGCTTCTGGAATCATTTTAAATTACTATTGAAACATTAATTATTCCAATTTTAAAAAACGTTAAAGTCACGGGTTTAAAGAACATGGCAGTGGAGCAGCACATTTCTCTGAGTGCCCTTTACTCCAGGGCCCCCACTGATGGGCCGCGTCGGTGTGTCAGACAGGAGACTGAGAACCGTCGGTGCTAACAGAAACGTCAGCAGTTAGTGGAACATTCTGATCACTTCGTCAGGCAACTAACTGGTAACTGTTACGTACTGGGAAGCCATCTCTTTGTTAAACCTGAGACTGAGGAAATGGGACTAGATGTGTTTTAACTTTTCTTCTCCCAGTAGTGTTGAAATTGTTGACTCTACCTAAACTTTTATTTTTATTTGTTTATTTTTTTATTAATCCTCACCCAAGGATATTTTTCCATTGATTTTTAGCTAGAGTGGAGGGGTGTGGGGGGAGAAAGAGAAACATTGATGTGAGAGAGACACATCGATTGGTCGTGTTCCTCATCACCCCAACTGGGGCCAGGGATCGAACCTGCAACCCTGGTACATGCCCTTGACCCGGGAATTGAACCCCTGACCCTTCGCTCCGACGCTCTAACCCCTGTGGCCAGGGCAACTCTATTTAAACTTTTATATCCTTATATTTCAAAGCTGTTCCTGAGAGGAAGAAATCATAATAGAATGGAAATTGTAGCAAATAAAATGTTTTCCTAGAGTTACTGTTTATTTTTATGGAGAATTAATTTTTCTTGATCCTTGATGCTCATAAATACAGAACAATAATTTTAACCAAATACTCTGAAAAAGAATCAGTCTTGAAGAGTTAATTCATATGCTACCAGTGACAACAGTGGTCACCTTATCACTTACAAAGTCAAAGTTTATAACATTACAGGATATTTGAACAACAATCTTCTTGTATTAAGTACTATGCAGAAGATAGTCGGTTGTTTTCTACTCTTATAGAATGTGGGAAACTTACTGAAATATAAGCCAACCTACTTTTTAAAATTAATGTTTATTTTCTGTATTTTTACCAGCCTTTGCTTTGCTTTTCATATATCAGACAAAAGGATCAATAACAAGAAAAGAACAAACATCACTTTTATCTTAGAAATTCCCATCTGGATTTATCCTCATCTGTAGTCCCTTTTGAAAGTCATCTGATTTGTGCTTATGGTTTTGACTTCTGGTCAGAAGTCTTTTCAGAATCTAATTTGACGCTATGAGGATTCAAGTATTATAGAGCAATTTTATTTGCCTTTTTAAAGTTGTAATTCAGCTTGAATTTTCTATTCTTAATCTGCAGTGAAACACTATAATTATTAAGATAACTGGATTTCCTTCCTACCAACAATGCTACAAGTTTCTTTTTCCATTTTGGTGCTGGAAGGTGTCATGTCGTTGCCTATTAAATATGTGACAACTGAAGTGAGAAATTCACTATCTTGCTATAAAAATCTGTGTGAATACATCATTTTCTCTTCCTCACCCACCCCCTTCTGTATTGCTAGAATATTAACAGTGAATTTAAGTAAGGTTAATTAAATCCTGTTCTTGGTTTTTTAAAACTCTAAAAATTAATTTTTAGCAGAAGATAGCATAAAGTATGTCCTACAGTAAACTTATAAGACTCAGGAATACAGAAAACAATTATAGGGCCATATATTATTATATTGCATAAGAAATATTTTATTCATACTAAAAGTTAATAAGCTCCAATAAATTGTCACAATATATTTTCACTTTCCTTAACATCCCCCAAGGTTTTATTTTAGACACATTTTAATTTGAATTTTAGTGAAGGTTAAAGAATAATAATAGATTCTTTGTAAAGTATAGTGCTAGGGCCATAGGAAGCAGTAAATCACGGGACTAGCACTAACTCCATGAGAGCGTGGATCATGGGGTTGGGAGCTTGGAATAGGGGTCAGGGATGGCAGTATGCCAGACTGCCAGGGAATTAACTAAGGAAATCAGTCACCATTTGGCCAAATTAGATGGAGAAGCCTTTCAAGCCAGGTGAAAATAGGGCCAGTAGTCTAGAATTTTCAAATGTCAGTGGTTGTATTGCCAGCATATCTGCTCACACCCTGAAGACTCTGACACAGAAGTCACCTGCCATAATAATAAGTGAAATTCAACTCATCGGAGTCCATGATGGACATAAAAGTTTGCCCCTTAGTCCCTTGATTAGTGAACCCTAAATGTCCTTCTCAACATGACTACTTTCTAATACACACTTACAAATGAATAGAGAAGGACCCCTTCCCTCTAAGAGAATCAGCCTTAATCAAACTCAACATTTATGAAAGTAGGTTCTCTAGTTCCAGATTATCTATTTAAAAAAAGAGTCCCATGATCCAGTGAATTTGCAAGTGCATATACTGTATGTTACACTGTAAGCTACAGTTGATTTTCAGCTTTTAGCATTTTGTTCATTTCATTCATTTGTTCAATAAATGTTTATTAAATTCTTCCTGTGAGCCAGACATCCATTAGATTCTGGGAACAGGATGAGGGGACAGGGTAGATTAAGGCAGATATGGTCACACTCTTAAATCTTATAGTCTGTATAGAAAGACAGATACTAGCCCTGGCCGGTTTGGCTCAACGGTTAGAGCATCGGCCTGCGGTCCAGGGATTCCCGGTTCGGTTCCTGCTAAGGGCACGTACCTCGGTTGCGGTTTGTCCCCGGTCCAGGTTGGGTCATGTGGGTGGCAACCACTTGATGTGTCCCTTTCACATCGATGTTCCTCCCCCCCCCCCCCCTCTATCTGAACAAAATATCAAAAAATGTCCTCGGGTGAGGATTAAAAAAAAAAGAAAAGAAAGATAGATACTATAATAAGCAACTACAGTATAGGGTGTTAAGGGCTAAAACAGGTGGAGATACAGGGTTCAGGGGAACATAAAGGCCACCTAACCTGGCCTTTAAAGGATCAATGAGGTGATTTTCTGTAAATACTGTCTATGATAAAAACTTGAAGATTAGGTAGAAGTTAGGCAAGTAACTTTCAGTCATAAGAGCAGCAATAACAATAACAATAGTTAAAGCTGACATACAGGTGCACTCTTTATCTGTCGTATACTGTGCTGGATACTTTCCAAGTGTTCTATCAATGAGCCTCCTGGGTGGGTTTTATTACTTACCCAAGATCATATGGCTAATAATTGGCAGGAGCTAGAATCCTGATTGGTCTGATTCCAAAGTCCTCTTTCCACCACCTCACTACTGCCTGTCAACACAATGGACTTGATTTTGATTAAATATGTTTTGCTAAGCCAAAATTTGTGTTGTATCTGAAGTTTGTTTTGTTTGTGATTTTCATGTGGTATTTATTTTTTTCTAATAGATACACATTTTATCATCTTAACAAATTATAGTAGAATTTGGAATTTGAGTAGAAGTTTCAGAAATTATAGCACTAAAGTCTGAAGTTCCCATTCCAAGTAGTGTCTTACACATAATATGTACTCAAAACAACACAATTGTAACTTTGTATTTTACTTCAAATAAGTGGTAGGGTAGTTTGAAAAAAACAGAACTCTGAACTTGCAAAGAAAGAAGTTACTTACATTTAAAAGTAATGTAATTCTGTATATGATGTGATCAAGATGGCCATAGGATATTTTTTTTTAAGATAAAGCATATGTAAAAGGTGAAGATATAAAATTGATTCCCTTAAAAATGTCTGGACCTACTTACCACCTGCAGTTTATGAACACATTTTTTTTTTGTTTTGTTTTGTTTTTTTAATCCTCACCCGAGGACATTTTTCCATTTTTTGTTCAGGTAGAGTGGGAGGGAGAGAGAGGAACACAGAGAGAGAAACATCGATGCGAAAGGAACACATCGAGTGGCTGCCACCCGCACAACCGACCAGGGCCGGGGACAAACTGCAACCGAGGTACGCGCCCTTAGCGGAAACCGAACCGGGTCTCTCAGGACCGCAGGCCGACGCTCTAACCGCTGAGCCAAACCGGCCAGGGCTGAACACATTTTTGACAAGAATTTTCATGGGTGGAGTGAACATATTTCCTCATGTGAGGCATGCATAACATCAAGATAGCTTACTATTAATACTTCCGAATATCTAAAAGCGGGGAGAGGGCGTCGGGTAAATAGTAGCAGGTAAGTTTAAGAAAATAAAATGGACTGTAAATCACAGTGTGATCACAGCCTGATCACAGCAGAAATGTTTAAAATCCCTTGGTTCCTGGAGTGAGGTGAGATGGTCTGGCTTTTGCTTAGTGATGGCAGATTGGACCAGGGCCAGAACACGTAATTCATAGACTTGCTTTAATTGGCATGTCAACATGTCAGTAATCACCATCAAAATTATTTTAAAATATAAACCATGTATATATCATACAAATATATTTTTTAAATTTATCCTCTTCACCCTTAAGAGGTAATTTTGAGGAGTGAAATGGTCACAAGGGAAAGAGAAGTGATCAGTCTTTTTATCTGGAAGGAAAAAGTAAAGAATTTGGATAATTTGTAAACCTGGATTAATTCCAAACCCATGTAATTCATATTTACATCTAAAAAATACTGTTGCTGAATGCAATTTCATCTGCTATTTTTATTCATTTTGGGGAAAAATGGGATGATGAACAAAAAGAAAATAAGTATTCTTGTGTTGTATTTTTATTCATGATAAAATGTCACTTTATTTTCTGACTAACTATAAAATGTGTTGGTTTAACTTTAGGGACACCACAGTACAAACCCTTACTCTTCAGCCTTCTGTTAAAGATGGACTTATTGTGTATGAAGACTCGCCTTTGGTTAGTAATCCAATTATATGAATATTCTCTCCTGTTGTTTTGAACGGTAATTGTATTTCAGCCTTTAAGAGGGGGAGTGTGGAATCTCCTATAGATTTCAGTCTTAACTGGAAAGCTCGTTTATATGTCATTTGGGGAGTAAATATTTAATTGCAAATTATTTGGGGAAAATAACATGGTTTCTTATTCTGTTCTGTCTCCAGAGTGAAAGATTTAGGGAATGATTGAAATCCTCTGATTTTTTTTCCATTCTAGAATTTAAAAATGAAAAAAGTTTTCTGTTGTTTTTTCTTCTTCAGATGTATAGAGTTTGAAATTAGATAATGCTTCTGGAATGTTTTTTAAAACTATTTTAATACAAAAATATTAACATAATGTTTTGGGCAGCTGGAAATAACCATCCCTCAGCTTCTCACATAAGGCCCGGAAGAAACCCCGCTGCCTGGCCTCCTGCCCCTCTGTGTAGATAACTCCTTTGCAGCAAGGGCATGAATAAGCCATCATGAGAACCTCTGTGGTCCAGACCCCATGACTGGAGTCGATAGAAACTCCTGCCTGAATTCTCCCAGGTTGGGCCTGACTTTCCCTGAACAGAAGAATCTATATGAGTTTACTTTTACCTGAAATTAAAAAGAAAAGTCTTTATCTGGTTTTTTTTTTAAGACTATGGAATAAAATATGTGTGGTAGAGGGAAAAACTTATTTCTCAATCTGTATTTTTTACAATTATTTGCAAAACTATGTAATGAAAAAAGTTTATGATTTGATCCATTTTAAGTTATGAGATTTTTCTTACTATTTAAAAATATAATCTTTGGGTTTACATTTAAATTCATTGAGTATCTCTTCCTATCCATTCTGCAAAAAGTGTTTTAAAGAATTTTCCTAGCTTTTACCTTTCTTGTCATAATGTCACCATTCATCCAGACACCTAGGACCTAGAACTTGTTATTTTTTCTTTCCCCTCTTCCCACCTAATCAGTCGCCAAGATGATAGATTATACCTCTGAAAAACTCTTGAGATCAGTTATAATGCTTTTTATTTCCATTTTTTCTATGCTTTCTCCTTTAAAATCAGGTCCCCAAACATTTTTTGACCAAATTGTTATGTTAATCCTTTAGTTTATTCTGCATATTACTATAAGATTAGATGCCCATGCTCTGGTCTTATGTCAGGGCTCACATATCTTTAGTTACATCCCACTGCTTAGCGAGGGAAAGTACTTATTTTTTAGTAGTAGAGACCCTCTCTACCCTTTCAGACCCTATTCTCTTTACTTGCATTTAACCTCTGTTTCAGCCAAGATGGACTGTTCATATTCACTTTTCTCTCAGTATGCTTCAGGATGTCGAGTTTGACCAGTGATACCCTTGTCTTGAATTCCCACCTCTTCACTGTCCATTATGGCCTATAAACATTTTTTACTCTTTTAGAGCCATAACAAATGCAGCGTTCTGAAATCCACCATTTGTTGTAATGTCTCCCTCCACCCCTGTTGCACTTTAATCTCGCTATTTGTTATCCTTGTTTTAAATCTCCCCTGCGTTGGTGTGTACTATGATGTGGACATCACCAACAGGAATAATTATACTACTGAAGGGAAATGAAGTAATTGCTGCAGAGTTAGCAGTTAAGTAACTATGAGGAGCTTTATATGGAGATTTGTAAATTTTGGTTCCAGCTCTGCCACAGACTGTCTTTGTGACTGTGTGTGCAGAGTTTACCTAACACCAGCCATTGCAAACCCAAAGCACTGAGCGATGCAATTTAAAATGTTTGCTTTTATTTTTATTTTTTATGATAAATGTTCTGTCTTCAAAGGTTAAAGCAGTAAAATTGGGTCATGTTCTGGTAGTAGATGAGGCAGACAAGGCCCCAACAAATGTCACCTGTATTTTAAAAACTCTAGTAGAAAATGGAGAAATGATTCTAGCAGATGGAAGACGCATCATTGCAAGTGAGTATAAAAAAGCAACTCTTCCTTCAATATATGCAATGCTTACGTCCCTGGTATCAAATCACACCCTTAGCTGGCTGTTTATCTCCAAGCAAAAAGTGTAAGTTCAGGTTGTCCTTACTGACAGTCATTTACAAAAATCAGTTATGTCTGAATACAGCTTTCTCAGTTTCATTTTTTGTAGCCAGAGAGTATCTTTGAACATTTCAATAATAGCTTTAGGACAGATCAGCTTCAAAATTTTCTACTCTGAGAATACCAACATATTCTCTTTACTATATTCATCTCTCAGTTATTGTGCAATGTATTTTCTTTTATTGTTATCTGAAACATTTTAAAGCTCTAGCATATTTCTATTATAGTATTAAAATTAATGTTATTATCTCAGTATAATTAGAAAAATTGCTGGGCATTTTATTTTATATATATATTTATTACATATGTGTATGACTAGATGTGTGTGTATACAGGTTTATTACACACACACACACACACACACACACACCTGCCTAAGGAAGAAGTTATTCTTTTGAATTACCTTTTTCTTTTATTTTTTTGTTGTTAGAGAAAATGTAGGTAGATAAATGTAATCAGTCTGTTTAACTTACAAAGAAAAAGTTAGTTTGTCTAATGCAATCTGAGAACATTTTGTCATTTCTAATTTAAAATTTTTGTGTCATAAAAGAATAGCCATTGAAAATATATAACCAATAGTAGAGTAACCAAACAAGTTGATACTAATAACTAAATTTTAAATATTCAAAGAGAACATGTAAAAAAGACCTCATTAAAAACGTACAAATGAGTCACCACAGAGATGTTCTTGGACATTGTCATTACAAGATTGCAGTTTATGAGCCCAGGAAACTCAGCACTAATAAAAGTATTCTAAAATTGCAGTTTAAAAAAATTTTTTTTCTTTATTTATTTTTAGAGAGAGAGGAAGGGAGAGGGAGAGAGAGATAGAAACATCGATGAGAGAGAACATCCACTGGCCGCCTTCTGCATGTCCCCACTGGGGATCGGGCCCACAACCTGGGCATGTGTCCTGACCAGGAATTGAACCTGCAACCTCTTGGTGCATGGATCGATGCTCAACCACTGAGCCACACCGGCCAGGCTAACATTTCAGTTTTAGAATGAATTTATGAGAAAAGTGAGAATTTGAGTTAGCCTGAATACTATCTCAAAGAAAGATCATTCAGACTCGGGATTAGAATTGTGCCTGCCCTTCTTAGAGGCATAATAAAGACAGTGACATGGAAAGCAAGAAAGAATTGCTAAAACAAGTTATAGTTAAAGAGTGATATTATATCCTGGTAACTCTCTACATTTTCTGATACATTTTTGATAGTCTAGAAGTAAAGGGGTCATCATAATTTTTAAACTCAGGTTTGATTGTAAACAGTATTTTAAACAAAAGAGCCCCTGAAATTCTTTTGAACATGATTTCATAAAGCATCCCTTCTAGGGCTGTGTTTTTTATTTTCTTTGCTCTTTGAAGTGCTCACTTTTTATTTTAATTAACTAAGTTTTGCCTGTGACCACATACCTTGTTATTTACCACTACTGAAATTAATGGAGGTCTAACATTGAAACTATTGGTTGTATTAGTACATGACGATATGGCACATTGAAAGGTTAGTTTTTGGTATCATAAAAAAGTACAAGTGTAGGTTCTTATAGACTCAGATAAAGCTGCAGGTACTTCACAACTATCATTTTTTAATGATAGTATTCAATTCCTTTAATACCTGAAACATTTGCACAAAGAAAGCACCAATCAATTTGAAATTATTTATTTTAAGAACTATGGTAGAATTTCTTCATTGGAAATAAATCAGCATTGCACTAATAAGTTGACCACGTGTTCAAGACCTTTGTTTTGTGTAGTTAAGTTTCAAGGTGCATAGTCTGAAGAGGAGTCACTCCTTAGATGCATAAGGGCAGGTTCTATGCAAAGCGGTGCAGCTGCTGATTTGATAAGAACTAAAGGATGTTTGGATTGTCCTTGATTGTATTTTGGATTACCTCTTGTTATGGATTCTTTTTTTTTAAAGTAACAGAATCTCAAGCCAAGTTTAAGTACTATAAGACAACATTTGGACAAATTTGCTTTTATAGGTGTACATTGAATTTACATAAAAATGCAAGTTCCTGTATAATTAGTATATGGTTTATCAGTATTCTGTTCTTAAGCAAACTTCCTCAAGAAAAGTTTTTTTCTGCAACCAACTTGTTATAACCAGATTTCTTAGCGTTTTTAAAATATATTTGAACAGTATGACTACTTGTTATAGTATTTAAAGGCTATGACTTGATATTCTTAAGAATTATTAAATGTCAATAAAGAATAAATAGAAATTTTGTTTTTCAGATTCCGCTAATGTCAGTGGAAGAGAAAATGTTATACTGATTCATCCTGATTTTAGGATGATTGTTCTAGCCAACAGACCTGGATTTCCTTTCCTAGGCAACGATTTCTTCGGCACTTTAGGTAAAAGCAATAATGATAATAATAACAAAAATGGTAGCAATAGCAATGATAATACTGTTAGTAACGCTGCTGTAATGGCTGTCGCTGAATGCTACTGACTGCTGTGTCATCATCCCAACCACCCAGGAGAGCAGTCCTTTCCCCATTTCAGAGACGGAGAAGATCTGATATTCGAGGCTAACTATTAATCTAGGGGCACTTAGGTCATGGGTGTTTAAACATGGCTCCATTCCAGAGCCTGTCTTCTTAAACGATTACACTATACTCTTAGAAACAAAACACAAATTAAAGAATGGTTTTTAGTGTTTGGTTTTCATTATATCCCTCTAACTATGAAAAAATTGGAGGCCAGCTCAGAAGACTGATTCACATTGACTGGAGAGGCCCTGGGTTAAACTTAATCATCAGGCGCCTTTAAAAAGGACATCTCCTTCTATGGCAAGTAGGTAATTCTGGGTACTGGTAGTTCTCACTGTCAACATGAGCAGGTCCAGTGTCCCAGGAGGATTTTTGATCTAGCAGTTTCACATCAAGGAATTCATACTAGGGAATTACCCATGCAATGATGTTAAGTACAAGAATAGACAATATAGCTTTTAATTTATTTTATCTTTTTTTTTCATTATTTTTATTAATTTGTTTTTGTTACAGATGTTTCTTCTTTTCCCCCCATTGACACCCTCCTCCCCATCCCCCCTGCCCCATCCCCAGCTTTGTTGTCTATGTCCATTGGTTATGCATACATGCATATAAGTTCTGTGGTTTATCTCTTACCCCCTAACACTCTCTCTTCTAGGGTGTGTCAGTGTGTCCCCACCTCTATATCTCTGGGTCAGTTTTGTTCATCAGTTTGTTTAGTTCATTATATTCCACAAATAAGTGAGATCATGTGATATTTGTCTTTTTCTGCTTGGCTTGTTTCGCTTAGCATAATACTCTCCAGGTCTCTCCATGTCATCTCAAATGATAAGAGAGCTTTCTTTCTTACAGCTGTATAGTACTCCATTGTGTACATGTACCACATCTTTTATATCCATTCATCTACTGATGGACACTTTGGTTGTTTCCAGATCTTAGTTACATATATTCTTTCTGATTGGTGTTTCAGGTTTCTTAGGGTATATTCCTAGAAGTGGGATCACTGGGTCAAATGGAAGTTCAATTTTTAACTTTTTGAGTGTTTTCCATAGTGGCTGCACCAGTCTGCATTCCCACCAGCAGTGTGCTAGAGTCCCCTTCTCCACACCCTTGCCAACACTTGTTTGATGATTTGTTGATGGCGGCCATTCTGACAGGTGTAAAGTGATACCTTATAGTTGTTTTAATTTGCATCTCTTTGATGATTACTGATGTTGAGCATTTCTTCATATGTCTCTTGGCCATTTGTGTGTCCTGTTTGGAGAGTTGTCTATTTAGGTCTTTAGGATTTTCTATGTGCAATATCATGTCATCTGCAAATAATGACAGTTTCACTTCCTCCTTTTCAATTTGGACCCCTTTTATTTTTTCTTTGTGTCTAATTGTGGTGGCTAAGACTTCCAGTACTATGTTGAATAAGAGTGGTGAAAGTGGGCATCTCTGTCTTATTCCCATTCTTAAGGGGAATGCTTTTAGTTTTTGCCCATTGAGTAGGATGTTGGCTGTAGGTTTTTCATATATGGCTTTTATTTTGTTGAGATATGATCCCTCTATTCCCACATTACTGAGCATTTTTATCAGAAATGGGTACTGGATTTTGTTGAATGCTTTTTCAGCATCTATTGTTATGGTTTTTATCTTTCATTTTGCTTATGTGGTGTATTGCATTTACTGATTTGCGGATATTGTACCAGCCTTGCATCCCTGGGATCAATCCCACTTGGTCATGATGAATAATTTCTTTGACTTGCTAATATATATATATATTTTTTTGTACGTGCCCCTGATGGGAACCGAACCCGGGACTCGCTGCTCCACAGGCTGAAGCTCCAACCGCTGAGCCAAACCGGCCAGGACATTGATTTGCTAATATTTCATTAAGGATTTTGGCATCTGTGTTCATCAGGGATATTGGCCTAATGTAGTTTTCTTTCTTTGTAGTGTCTTTAGCCAGTTTTGGAATTAAGATTTTGCTGGCCTCATAAAATGATTTTGGAAGTGTTTCATCCTCTTGGATTTTTTGGAATAGTTTGAGGAGAATGGGTATTAGATCTTCTTTGAATGTTCGGTAAAACTCCCCATGAAGCCATCCTAATCTGGGCTTTTGTTTGCTGGGAGTTTCTTAATTACATTTTCAATTTTCTTTGCTGTTATTGGTCTGTTCAAGTTTTCTATCTCTTCCTGGTTCCGTTTTGGGAGGCTGTGTGTTTCTAAAAATTTGTTCATTTCTCCTAGATTGTCCGACTTGTTGGCATATAATTGTTCATAGTATGTTTCAATGATCCTTTGTATTTCTGTGGTGTCAGTTGTTACTTCTCTTTTGTTTCTGATTTTGTTCATTTGGTTTCTCTCTTTTTGTTTCTTGGTGAGTCTGGTTCATTTGGTTTCTCTCTTTTTGTTTCTTGGTGAGTCTGGCTAAATGTCCATTGATCTTGTTCATCTTTTCAAAGAACAAGCTTTTTGTTTCATTGATCTTTTGGATTGTTTTTTTGGTCTCTATGTCGTTTATTTCTGCTCTGACCTTTACTATTTCCTTCCTTCTACTAGCTTTGGGTTTTTCTTTTTGTTTACTTTCTAGTTCTTTAAGTTTTAGGGTTAGAAAGTCAACTAGGAATTTTTCTTGTTTCTTGAGGTAGGCCTGTAGTGCTATGAACTTCCCTCTCAGTACTGCTTTTGCTGTGTCCCATAGATTTTGTGTTGTGTGTTTGTTTTCATTGGTTTCCAGGGAGTTTTTAATTTCTTCCTTGATCTCAGTAGTAACCCATTTGTTGTTTAATAACATGCTATTTAGCCTTCAAATGTTTGATTGTTATATGTGCTTTTATTGTAATTGAGTTCTAGTTTCATACCACTGTGATCTGAGAAGATGCTTGATATGATTTCAATCTTCTTGAATTTGTAGAGACTTGTTTTGTGTCCTAACATGTGGTCTATCTTTGAGAATGTCCCATGTGCACTTGAGAAGAATGTATATTCTGCAGCTTTGGGGTGAAATGTTCTGGAAATATCAATGAAGTCCAACTGATCTAGTTCATCTTGTAAGGATTCTATATCCTTGTTAATTTTTTGTCTAGAAGATCTATCCAGTGGTGTCAGTGGTGTGTTAAATTCACCCACTATGATCATGTTGCTATTGATCTCTCCCATGAAGTCCTCCAGAAGTTTTTAAATATATTTTAGTGCTCCTGTATTTGGTGCATATATGTTTACCAGTGTTATATCCTCTTGTTGGATTGATCCTTTTAATATTATGTAGTGACCTTCTCTGTCTCTTATTATGGCCATCGTTTTGAAGTCTGTCTTGTCAGATATGAGTATTGCTATACCAGCTTTTTGTTCATTTCCATTTGCTTGGAAAATTTTTTCCATTCCTTCACTTTCATCCTGTGTGAATTTTTTGTTGTGAGCTGGGTCTTTTGTAGATAGGTTGTGTTTTCTTATCCAATCAGCTACTCTATGTCTTTTGATTGAAGCATTTAAGCCATTTACATTTAAGTTTATTATTGATAGATAGTTATTAGTTGCCATTTTAGTTTTATGCCTGTGTTCCTCTTTCTCTCTCTGTTTCTTCTTACAACAGTCCCTTCAGCATTTCTTGCAGTGCTGGTTTGGTGATGGTAAATTACTTTAGCTTTTTTTATTCTTGAAGTTCTTTATTTGTCCTTCAATTTTGAATGATAGCCTTGCTGGATAAAGTAGTCTTGGATTCAGACCCTTGCCTTTCATTACTTTGTACACTTCATGCCACACACTAGCTCAGTCTCTCACTCACTCAACCCTCCCTCTGGTCCTGCCCGCCGCCAATTTTAAGAAAGTCCAATATAGCTTTTTAAAATAGTAGCAAAAAAAATGGGAACATTCCAAATGGGACTAGATAAAGAAATTCTGTTACATCCACACAATAGAATACTATGCAGCTATTTTTAAAAAAGAATACGATGAGTTTACCCATGCCAATTAAAAAAACAATTCTCAAAATACAGTAAGTCAGAATAGTAGGTATAGTAGTTTCCCATTTGAATTAATACAAAACAAGACAAGAGGGATATGTGTACATGATTATGCTTGTACAGGCATAGAATTTTTTAAGAAGAGCTCCTAATATGTCTCCCAAATCCCCTTATCTCTCTGACCTCGTTTTTCTGCTCTGCTGTCCCCATCACTCTTTCTCTTCCAGCCGTTCTGCTCTCCTGCTTCTTTCTGGAACATGCCAGGTTGTGTTTGCCTTAGGGTCTTTGATTAGCTGTACGCTCTCCTGGAACACTTTTGCCCTCCATTTCTGCATTTGCAGACCTGAGGCCCTGCCTGACTGACTTCCCCACCATCTCCATTTCTGATATCCTACACTGTGCTGCTACTTTTTTCTTTGAAACAGAGTTTCTAACATTTATGTTTATTGTTTATTGTCTTCCTATGCCAGAATATAAACTCCCAGGACAGGATTTTTGTGTTTTTGATCACTGGTATATACAAAGTACCTAGAGTAGTACTTGGCACATGGAAGACAGTTAATAATTATCTAATGAATGAAGGAATGGGGTAATTATTGCTTTATATTAGTGTTACATTTTATTTTCCCCCCAAAAAAGGCAAAAGCTGTTCTTCATGTTTGTATTTAATGGATTTAGTCTATGAGATACAAATTTGAAGTTAACGTGGCTTGAATTTTATTGAGTGGCTTTCATAAATATGTAATAATGATAAAACAATGGTTCAGATGGTTTCTAAGTCAAATTAAGATCTAGATGTCCTTTCTTTTTAAAATGAATATCTTAAATAATGCAAATTTATTTACTTTAACTTTCTTTTGTCCCTGATCTCCTGGAATATAAATCAGTAGAATGATATGAACTTTTGGAATGAGAACGTCATCTCTCTTGTATAGATTATATTGTTCTAGTATATTCTCAGTTGCCTAAATTACAGGTGGAATATTTTGTGTTTCTACATTCCTTTTATTGGTTCTAATTTAGACATCATCTCTACAGGTTTACTTTTCCAAAAATAATTCTGAAGTATATTCCAGCAATCTGCACAGATATAAATTATTTAGAGAGTGATGGTACTGATTCCTCCTTTTTTAGTATACATAAAACATACATATGTGATAGATGTATATAATTTCTCCAGATACTCACCATGTATTAAAATTAAAAATGCAGTCTCAGAACCATATGAAGATTATTTTCCAATTAAATGGAAAAGGAATAAATCACCAAAACTATATATGTTTATATGTGTGCATTTTAAAAAACTGAGCTGTTAATACGGGCCTGTTGGGGAGTGAGTGGAATTGGCAGAATCACACGGGGGTTCTCTGTTTTGCTCTTTATATTTGAGTGTCTCCCAACGAGGTTGTATTCAAGTATTATTTAGGTTTTTTTAACAGAAACATATCTATGTAGACTACACCAACACATCATTCAGTTTCCTTTTCTTTAACTTTAGTCATTTGCTGTCTTCTCTTTGCCATCCTATTGTTGGATGGGCTTTCTGTACAATTTTACACATTTAAAAATAAAAATGCCTTGTGAGCAACCAGTGGTTCTTTAAACAACCACTGCACATTTCCTATGGCATTACAGTTGCATGCTGACTGTGCATTTTCTTTCTCCTATAGGTGATATTTTTAGCTGCCATGCAGTTGATAATCCCAAGCCCCAGTCGGAGCTTGAAATGCTCAGGCAATATGGACCAAATGTGCCCGAACCCATCCTGCAGAAGCTTGTGGCTGCCTTTGGAGAGCTGAGGAGTTTAGCTGACCAGGGCATTATTAACTACCCTTATTCTACCAGAGAAGTTGTCAACATAGTCAAGCACTTACAGGTATGGTGAATGCCTGTGTGTAAAGGTTTAAAAGAAGCCATTAATCTTGTTTTTCAGACTGCTTAATTTATACCAAGTTTTTCCATTTTTGTAAATTGATTGAGATGATATCATATGAAGGTTTATAATCTAGATTTTAAATCTGGAAGACCAGTGGACAATTTATATTTAGTTTTTTAATTGAGTTGGACAAAGTTCTGTGCCATGGCTGTTACCAAGGAGCCAGGAAATTTGGTGGAGGTTTTTGGGAAGGATCTGGGCAAGGGTGGGGATGAGAGAGTGAGACAGCAGGGAAACTTTATTGCTATTTGACTTTATACAACAAGCACATAGTATCTGAGTGAAAACAAACAACTTGGGTATAGAAAACAAACTAGGAGCCAAGAGTATTGATTAAGAAAGTTTTGTAAGATAGAGTGAATGAACAGGAGAGTGAAATTCCTTGTAACCATGTATAATGTCTAGTCTACCTTGGTAAAGAAAACAAAAAACCTTTGTAAATTCTATTTGTAACAAATAATTATTAGATCTAGTTATTAGATATAATGTTTATAAGTCTAATTATTTTAAATTCAGCAATTGATAAGTTTGCTTAGAAATTAGGTAGCTCGAATAACACTAAGTTGAATTAACTGTGCACATTTAGATTTGATATTGTAATTTATAAAATATTTGTTAAAATTAACTTTACTTTGTACTGTTTAAAAAACTAGATATTGTATTCATGTAATAACATTCTTATAGTTAGACTCATTTAAGATAATGAATTTGAAGAATGCTCAATAAAATTTTAATAATTATGAAATAAGAAAAAAAAGAACTTTAAGATAATAGTCACAACCTCATGACTCACATGCTGTTTACCCTCCCCCAGCCTTCCAAGGAAAACCTAAAAAGGAATATAGAAAACTTTTTTCTGCCTATAAAACCATGGTAAATTCAGCTCGGATCTCAGTGCTTAAGAGAGAGCCAGTAAAGGACCCAGAGGACACTATTAGTGTGAATTTTTACTAGTGTGAATTTATCTATTAGTAACACTTGTTTTCTTTCCCTCTGCTACTCCTGATTTCTCTGTGCAAACAACTTGAGTATAGAAAACAAACTAGGAGCCAGGAGTACTGATTAAGAAAGTTTTGTAAGATAGAGTGAATGAACAGGAGAGTGAAATTCCTTGTAGCCGTGTATAATGTTGTGTACTTTTCTCTGTGCTGTGCACTTTTATGTTCTTCTTTCTGTCTTTTCTTCATTTTTTCATAGACCTTTGACTTCTCTGAATACTTCTGTATAACCACTCAGTGCTCTGCTCTGTTTAAATAGTATTTTTTAATTTGTTCAATCTGGTATTCATTTTAAAGTCAGGAGATTTCAGAAAGCAGTGGAAGTCACTGAATACCAGGATCTAACATTTTCTCTAACATGATTTAACATTTGGGAAAAGGAACTGTGCCCCCTCTAATTCTAATATTTATTTGAAAGGGAAAATCTTAAGTCATCAGAGCAAACATTAAAAGAGAAAATATGTGTATTCTTCCTGTCTGGTTATTAGACAAGGCTGTTAATGTCTGCTAAAGTTTATTGGATCGTTATTGTGCTATCAGTTTTATATTCTTTATATCGGGTATTTTATCACATGAATAATAAGGTTTGTTGTTTTTTTAATGCAGAAATTTCCCACCGAAGGTCTCTCCAGTGTGGTCAGGAATGTGTTTGACTTTGATTCCTACAACCACGACATGAGGGAGATTTTGATTAATACTTTGCACAAATACGGGATACCTATTGGAACAAGACCTACCAGTGTGCAGCTGGCGAAGGAGTAAGGCAAACTCACTATTGATAAAATGCTGTTGAGTGTCGCTGTTCTGGTTTCAAATGCTGATAATTCTGAATCTACTTTATAGTCTACTAAACTGAGTTGGTGTGGAAATCACTTTCCACAAGTAAACTTTTCAAATATACGTTGCTATTGGCTGGCTGGCTTTCAGTTAAATAGCATTATTTAGAAGTCTGTAAATTGAGAATTTCAATTATTTTAAATGTTCCAAGAGCAGATGTAATATAATCAAATAAAGGGAAATATTTGTTTCTTTAACAGTCTCTGTCTTTTTGTTGAAATACTGTGACTCTCACTATTTCCTAATCTGGTGCAAAATCATTGTACAAACATGAAAATGATGGAAAGGGATAATATGCGTTCAGTTAAAGTATTCTTATTTATATCACCATATATTTTTCTGTTATGATAGTTTCTAAATTTATAATCATATTAACTTAAGAGATTTCTGGTTACTTATTTTAGGTTGACAGATGAAAGAGGTAGTGAAAATAAGTGGGTTTGTTTCATGTGGGCCAGTTGCCTGACTTTTATTTTGTAATTACGGGCTACGTACTTACTTAACCTTACCAAAAGAATCTTGCAAATATATTGTTGACCAGAAAGATAGTTGACAGAGTTTATTGTTAAAGTAGTTAAATTCATGCTAATTCACTAGAAAATAGTTTTAAAAATGCATGTTATTAACTTATGATGATGAGTCCAATGCTTTGTATATAAAAATAATTAGCATAAATTTCTAAGGCACAATAATTACTTTTAAATTATTACTAACTTTAGTTTCATATAGGAAGCACTCTACCTTACTTAGAAAAAAATTATTTAAAGTAAATTAATGATTAGTCCAGCTATTTATATATGTGTTTATATATACACACATATATAAATATATATCCTAAGTGTATACATCATCCTTATTTATTCTTTGAAGTTATTATAAAAACTTTTCAGAATATATGCCAATAAAAATGTATCATTAAAGCTTTAACAATTTATTCAAGTATTTCTTAAAGAGAAACAAATATTTCCCTTCTGTGGTAAAGGCTCAAAATAGAATTATGTTAGACATTATCAGTGAATTGGTTTATATTATTAATGAGTGAGTAAATTTTATTTGAAAAGAGTGATTTTGTTGCCGGTAGAAATGGGATTTTTTCATGGAGCTGTGAGAAAAACATTTCTGGGGACTCATGCATGGGAGGTTGAGGTGTCGTGAAAAGATTTACTGGGGTTGAAATGGAGGCTGCCCCCAGGTTCCCTGGGCTTGCATCTCCATTCGTCCTACTATGGAAAATGTCCAGCCTTGTCTTCATCAGTCCCAGAAATAGTGCCAGTGTCCAGAGATTCTGTGCCCAGCCAAGGCTTAGTCCAATTTAGTCTCTGTCCCCATCTGGCCTAGTCTGTTACCGGCTGCACAGTGTGTTGCTGTACCCAAGCTCAGGCTTGGAGTCCAGTGGCTGCCAGGCTGCAGGCTGCTGCTAGGCCCGCACGACTGCTATAGAGAGAGAATGTACCAATTACCAGGTGAGAGAGGGAGGGAGGGAGGGAGGGAGAGAGAGAGAGAGAGAGAGAGAGAGAGAGAGAGAGAGAGAGAAAGTGAAAGGAGAGAGAGAGATCGATCCAGATGGAGATCGAGATCAGCTTTGTTAAGCTTGGATTATATTATCTTGGTTTTGAGAAGGACCAGGTGCCCTTCTTTTTTTTTAATCCTGGATATGATCAAAGATGGCAAGAAAATCGTGGAGCCTGGTGCCCTTTCAAAATAACCAGTTAATTTCCCAATTTTTCCCTGGCTTCTGATGGGTCTCCCCACTAACCAATCCATTTCCTGGATCTTTTTGGGTTCTGTGCCTCTTATCCAGTCTGATTCTTGTCCCAGGCTAGGCTCCGCCCCCTTATGGTTGCCATCTGGCTTCTACTGCTCATGTGCACAGCACAGGAATTTCCCTTCCTCCTCCCCTTATAATCTGCTACCAGGCTGGCAGTTCACTACAGGCAGTTGCCAGGAGAGACTCTTCTTGCCCTTAGGGGATTGCCCAACAATTAAGTCCTGAGGGAGGAGGATGTGACAGTTTGCTGGAATGTGTGAATGAGCCTGTGAATGCTATAGCTTCCTAGTGAAGCAAGCCCAATATTTGATTCAGCTCCCTAGTTTTTTATGCTTAATGTCTGATTCCCTTTGTCCCTTTATTAATATCTAGCTACGTATGCTAACAGTTTGGTGTTAGCTACTAAAATGTAAAGCTTTCTGTAAAATACTATTTTACTGATTGATAGCAGTGTTTATGGACATTTTGAAACTAGTAATTTAATGGGTGTGGTACATCTTCTATATTAGAAAGTTCGAGAAATTGTCTTTAATATGCATACTTCTATTACTGCTTATGTTTTTTTAACTTTTAAAATAAACTATATCTTTATTTTCTATTGGAAATAAGATGGTTTTTTAATTACCATTAACAAATTTCTATAATTAGAATTCTAGTTTCTTGGAAACCAGGCTTGTAATTTAAAAATGACCTTTTTTAAATGCTCTTACACAGCTTAAAATAAAAATTAAAATACATATTAGTTGGTAAGATCAATCAAAAGAAAACTGTTGGCAATTTTATTATCTAAGGAAGACAGGTGAAATAATTTAACTTATTTATTACTGTCCTCAGTTCTAAACTGAAAAATTCTTGTCATTGGCAAGTTGATTCCAACCCAAGTACTTGTGGGTTGGAAGCAAAACTACATTGAGCCTGGAAATAAGATGGTCACACTTGTGCCTACGATGAGGATGGAAGCAATGAGCTGTGCACGCACTGCATGCAGCTAAGAGTGATAGCAGATATGGAAAATGAGGGGATCTTCTCTTGGGGTGCACTAATTGTAGACTACAATTTAGAACGTATTTTCCTTGTCTGTAAATTGTAGTGTCTTGGGCAGCTCAAAAGTAGTGATGTCATTTCACTGCCCTTTAGTGAAATCTACAGGTTCCATATGTCTATTTCTATCAAATGATTAGCCTTTTACTTTGAGAGTGTAGCATGGTAAACTGAACAAAGCAATGGCCTGGGAATTCAGCCGTTAGTTGTACTTACTTTCAACCTGCATGCCCAGGTAAAGGAAAAACAGATTTTACCCTATTGGTAAAAAGAGGGCATTTTATTATAGATATCATAACTATGTAACATATTTATTTGGGACATTTTTGAGAATGAAACAGGATGCTAATAAAAATAACAACTATAAAAAGAGATATGAAATAAGACTGTCATAGTGAGGCCCGAATATATGGTCCTCTTCTTAAGGTTAATAAGGTTCCTTCCTATTCTAACATCCTTTGCATTTTTATGCAATCCTAATTTTCTCTCATCTGCAAAAACAAGAACAAAAACTAATAAAAATAAAAAAAAGTGATACTAACACTTTCCTTGTTCCCTGTGGAGAAGCACACTGTTAATAGTAATCACATAGACCTCTAAAAATTTAAAGTTGTGCCCATGCAGTCTTATGATTAACTTTGACTTTTCCAGACCTTTTGCTAAACCTTTCACTTCACTAGGACTTTTGCTACAGCAGTTCTTTGAGGCTACTCCTGCCCACCTGTGGCAGACACTGTGTTAGTGACAAAGATCCACCTTGGATTTCTGTACCTAAGGAAGAAGAAAATGTTTTAATTACTATTAATATTCTTTTGCCCTGAATGGAAATATTTTTCAAAACCTATTATTTTCTTTTTCTGTAATCTAGCCACAGTAGTTACTAAATGGGAGCAAACTTACACTCAGTCCAGAATAAAATGCTCACATTCACACTAAAGATGCGGATGGAAAAATAGTTGGCCACTTAACTGCATAGAGCTAAAACGAGATATAAGGCAGATGTTGTAGAAAAGGGCAGTTTTCTCTTGGAGAGATGATACTAGACCACTGCCTGTACAGTCTTCTACAGCCTCTTCTTCCTCAGCAAAAATCAGAGTCTACTCTGGCTATTTGGTGATATCTCTTTAATGCTCTTTAGTAAAATTCCCGAGATAAAGATACTGTCACTTTCTTTTTTGTTCTACAAAATAGTGCAGTGACTAACTGTGCCTATCTCATAGTCTCTGCACATTTTTATTTTATTTTATTTTATTTAATTGCCTAACTTATTTTATTAAAATAAAAATCACAAATCATAAGTAACATACACAATGTCCCTTTCACCATTTAAGTAAGATACTTTGATTTTATTTAAATATTCTCATGTTTTCAAGGTAACAGTATCTGAGAATGAGGCATACCTTGGTGGGCAAAAGTAGATTTACAGTTGTGAGTATACAAAACACAATTCTGGTATTATTATTATTTATTAATCACTGTATTATTTATTTGTATATCTACTTTTGCCCACCCCTGCATATATTCTGTAGTACTACAAACCCAGTAGCCATTAACCTACAGAATAATTTTCATCCAGGTACTTCAAAAAGTTTTGTCATTTCTTCAAACCTTTCCATCAGAACTCTCAGGTTTTTTAAATTTATTCATTTATTTATTTTTTATTTAATTTTATTTTTGTTACAGATGTTTCTCCTTTTTTACCCCATTGACACCCTCCTCCCCATCCCCCCACCCCGTCCCGGGCTTTGTTGTCCGTGTCCATTGGTTATGCATACATGCATATAAGTTCTGTGGTTTATCTCTTCCCTCCCCTCACCCCCTCTTCTGAGGGTTGTCAGTCTGTACCCTACTTCCGTGTTTCTGGATCTACCCTATTCCTCAGACTGTTATATTCATTATATTCCATATATAAGTGAGATCATGTGGTATTTGTCTTTTTCTGCTTGGCTTGTTTCACTTAGGATAATACTTTCCAGGTCCCTCCATGCCGTCTCAAAGGATAAGAGATCTTTCTTTCTTACAGCTGCATAGTACTCCATTATGTATGTGTACCACAGCTTTTTTATCCATTCGTCTACTGATGGACACTTAGGCTGTTACCAGATCTTAGCT